TCCCTCAGCTCCCCCTGTCGTCCCCGCCCCCCCCCCCAAAATCCCAAATCCTCATTTTCCTCTTGTTTCCCCATCGTATTACTTACAAAGTTCATGTTGGCCCTCTTTGGAGCTATCTGGAGGGTCCTGGTGGCCCATCAGTTAGTGACTGGAGCCTCTTGGTCTTTGGTGTTGTCTCTGGTACCTGCCGCTTATCCAGTTTGTGTCTCTGTTTATTTTTATTTATTGCTTCCCCCTGTACTTTGCATTGAAAAGACCCATGACTGGATAACGTTAGTGAAGCTGATGCTCTCACCTTCCATGGACGCTTGTAGGATTTAGACTGAAAATTGATATGCTGGCACTGAGAAACTGGAGTCATTTTGGCAGGAGGTTGAGAGAGAAAAGATCAAAGACGTAAAAAGTAAAATAGAAAAATCTAAACAAGACCGATGTGCAAGGCACGCACTCATGTGTATATTTGTCTCATTCTTTTTTCACTTCTGGATGTCCTTGTTTATCTCTTGGATTCCTCTGCATCACTGCCATCAAGGTGGGAATGCTGGGGGTGTCTTTGCCCGAGGAGGGACGCTGAGCGGCTGCGGATGCTCCCTGGCCCCCCTCCTTCAGCCGCGCTTGCTCTCGGTGCAGCACGTGAGCTCCCCGTCCCATGGCACGGCAGCAACCACGCGGCCCCTGCTTGCGCTGAGGTTTGCCTTTATCCCAGCAACCACCAGCCGTGCCGAGTTGTTGCAAGGCGTGTTATTTGGAAGTCCGGTACGTCGGTTCATTGACCTTCACGTAGACCTCTCACCCCAACGGTGGTTTTATGCTTGACGATTTTCGGTTGTGTTTCTGCCTGCCTTCTTCAGGTTTGTTGGTCCCAAATTCATTGCTAACGTTGAATACAAAATAGCGTCTGTCCCTGTTCGGATGATCGTGTTGTAGTTCTGCTCTTACGCATTTACCTTTGATTTTTTCCACGCTATGTGGGGCATTTGCTGTTTGCCAGCAGCCTGAAAGATTCCAGTCTGGAGGAATATTTTTAACATGGTATTTGGAGAAGTCTGACTAGTTCAACTTTTGCCACAGATAGTAGAACCAGTGCACGCCATCTTACCAGATGCATTTATAGGACTGATAGCTAAGAGACCAAATTTTATTTGATTAAAAGGAATACGTTCACTTATTGAAAGAAGAACAAGTATAGTCTAGAGAAGATGGTTCTGCAGTTGAGAGTTCACTTCTGCTTCGAAAGCAGAACTTGCAATAGGGTGAGCTGCAGGTGCATGCAGGAGTTGATGGTAATGGAGATCTTATACTGACATCTTGCATGGAAGTTTCGAGAGAACGCAGGATCCACAGTGCAGGCGGTGGACACCGCATCAGAAGATACTGATGAAAACCTTTCACTGGTAGGAAGAGGCCCAGCTGGAAGGAAAGCCGTTGACATTGTATGGGCTTTGTGGGCTAACGGGGCTGCTGTCTGCGGAAGCGAGGGGAGGTTAGAATTGCAGGATGGTGGTAGTGGGAAGGGATCTCTGGAGATTGTCTAGTCCAACCCACCATTTAATGCAGGATCAACTAGAGCAGGCAGCTCAGGACCGTGGCCAGTCATGATCTAGTCTTGAACGCCTACAAGGATGGAGACTCCCCAGCTTCTCTGGGAACCTGCTCCAGTGCTTCCTCGTTCTTTCAGTAGAGAAGTTTTTACTTGCGTGGAAGTGGAATTTATGTGTTTCAGTTTGTGCCTGTTGCCTGTCTCCCTTTCTCTGGGCACCACTGAGAAGAGTCTGGCTCCGTCATCTTTACCCCCTCCCACCAGAAATGCCAAGTCAGGAAAAGCCAAGAAGTCCAGGCGTTCCAGCTGCTCGTGTGTTCCTCCTTACCTGGCAGGAGGTGAAGGCACCCCACGCCGAGGCTTCATCTTCTCTCAGCAGAAGACTTAGAAAGAGACATCTTGAAAAAACTGAAATAGATAAATGTGTGATTACTGCGTCTCAGGGGACTAAATTATCTTTCCAAAGGTTAAGCTATAAAGGAGGTTTAATGAAGGGAGTGCCAGCATTAGGGATATGCAAGTTTAATCATTGTCAGCTTCGGTGACACTTGATACAGATAGAAAGATATTTTTTCCCTGCTTTTGGTGATATCTTCTCTTCCGCTGTGGTTTACAAGTAACTTTTAATGTGCAGTTAAAAACTTTATTTCTGAAGTGGAGGATGAAAATACAATTGAATATCTGAACCTATTAGTTCACCTCGCTGATGGAAGAAATCTGGAATTAATTGAATTGATAACACTTGTGTTGTCTTAAGTACTATTTGGCCTTACATGTGGAAATTAGTTATAGCTCTAATTTCAGAGAAAGGATAAGAAATCAATTGTCTCCAGTTAAAGGGAGACGTGTTTTGATTTACTCTTTCCAGTGGGCATCAACAGAAGGATTTTTTGCCATCTGATGCACACAGCCCTATTTGTTTGTCCAGCTGTTGCGACCATTGTCCTGTTTGCCTTGTACAGTAAACATTTAAAGTTTCAGTTACATTACTAATGAGGACTTCAGGACGACAGCATAATTTCAGGTGTGTCGTATGACTCGGCCGAGGTGATGGGCCAGAAGCGGAGGAGCGGGGATGGGGATGGCCAGTGTCAGGTGGGGACGAGCTGGTGCCTCCAGCCGCTGTCCTGCCCTTCTTGGCTCAGTGCCTCTGCAAGGTGTCCAGAGCGGTTTTGGGTGGTTGGACAGTGGTGACATTAACGACCACAACTGAAGATCTCATCAGCGGAAAACGGTTTGTTGACACTAACTAGCATTAATCTGCAACGTAGGTTAAAATCTGAATCCGGCGGGATAATCACTAGAGGGCAGTCTGGGTTTAGGTGTGGACAGGGTGAAAACCGCTGCTGGTTCTCTGCTGGCTGTTACCAGCCTAAAACCACGTAGATGAATGCACGTGAACCCACCGCTGCAGCCTTTGGCAGCGCAGACGTTTCACTGCACAGAAACACCTGCCAGGTCCATTTTTGCAAGGACCTGTGCCGGCAGGCCAGGGGCTGCTGTGGACCTGGTTGGAAAAAGAACATTACCTGGGACCGTGGGACACTGAACCGTCAAACTGTTTTTCTTCTATCATGAAGTTCAAAAATTGACTGGGTTTCTCGTAAAGTGGGAGTGTATTGGAGTTAGTGATTAGGGATGGAGAAGAAGTTAAGGAAGAGCATACCTGTGAAGCGATGATGAGGGCGGTGTAAAAGACGTGCCAGCTGGGCACTGTGTTAAGGATTTTATGTGGACTCGCAGAAGGCAGTGTGCGTGTTTGAGGCCAGTGGCTAAGCAGTTCTGACATTGCTCTGAAGCATAAAAAAAAATCCACAATCAGTGCTTGGTAAATGAAGAAAACTGCTACTTTTAAGAATTTTGTTAATTGGGAGAGTTTATTGCGGGGTGTGTGACTGTACCTGTTTCTTCCATTTGCAGAAGGATGTTCCAGACGGGTTGAAGGAGCTCTCTGATGGCTCAGAGGAGAGCAGCGATGCCCAGTCCGACTCTCAGAGCTCTGAGAACAGCAGCAGCAGCAGCAGCAGCAGCAGCGACAGGTGCAGTAACAAAGATGGGAAGAAAAGCAGATGGAAAAGGAAAGGTAATTTTCCTTTTCAGGAGTGATGGTTTTAACATGGTCTGTGTGTGTGAAGGACTTGGAGGTTTTTACCCATCGCATCTGTTGCCTTATAAAGACAGATCTTTATAAAATCTGCCTTTACTATTTGTGCTCATGGATTGAACTGGTGACGCCAGTGCTGATTTACTGTTGCAGGAACCGAAGGGGAGAAGGTACCTGTAATTAAGTGTCTGTATTTAAGGCCTTGACACAAGTCACAGACCAGCACACTGTGCTTCACACCCGGGAACAGTGAATCTATTTCTTCTAGGTTTTCTCTGCCATCCCCGAGCTTTCCCAAGAAGATTGCACCTTTTATTTCTGGCCTCTTTTGATGCTTTTGGATACAACACTGACTAAGAATGAGCACAGAATCTCTGAGGTTAAAGCCTGTTATGTGACCTGACGGGTCCCTTAGGGCTTGGGCTTCAGCCACTGCGCTCTTTTCTTCTGTCCTGTTTTGGACTCCTTTCCCTCATAAACCAGGCAGTATTTAGTTATTGAATACTGTTGAACATTAAATCATTTACAACCTTAGCTAATCCAGTAAAGTGCTGGTTGTTGCTCCACTGCTGTGTCTGGGCGGTTGCTGAAGTTGGATGTTTCAGCGATGTTTCGAGGATATCTAGATTCTGGATTTTCTACAGAAGTAGTGCAAGAGTACCAGGCGGAGGAAATGGTGGATTTCACTCTGTTTTGAATCCTGATGTCTTTGCCACTCTGAGGAGGCAATGTGTCTTGTCAGATACTGCCATATCATGCTGTCTTCAGGAACAGCGGAAATCAGCACCTCTCAGCCAATTATATTGTACAATGCATTGTAATATTTACATCCTGTATTAGTAATAAACTGAAGTTCCCATCTTGCCCGCCTCTAGTTTCAGCACCCATTCATTTGACCAATGTTGTCTGAATTCTTTCCTCCTTCAAAATTCTGCTCAGATATCTGCTTGTCTGCTTAGATGCTACGAGCTGAAATAGTAAAAAAAAAAAAGCTGTAATAAAATGTGAGGATGCGACATACATACATTGTTCTCTGAGTTGGGGAGAGTCTATTCACTATAGTGTTGTTGTTCTCTCTGTTAAAAATAAGTATGTTTCATAACTCACAGCTTTGTGAAGAAGTGTGAAGTCTTGCCTTTAGGCAGAGGTAGCAGGCTGAAGCTCTCTGGATATTCCTGGAGAGCTGTTGGTGCAGCTGCTGATGCTGTAACTTCACCCTTCAATCCGATCCTTTCCTTTTTCCCTTTCTCCTCAGTCATGCACAGAATTTCTTGGCTGAAATGAAACATTATTCAAAACTTCTTTCCAATGCAATAGGATACCTGAGTGGAAGCACGTGAGAGGTTTTCTAAAGTGGTTAAAGATTTGCAATAACCGGTGGGGTCTGCTGAAACCCTTCCATCGGTGGGAAGGTTTACGGCGGGGAGTTGTTGAGTGAGAACGTGCTCTTACTGTACGGTGCGTGAGGCTCAGGTGGACCAGACCCTGCCTGGAGCTTTTCCTGGAGTCACAATGCAAATCACAAAAGTAGAAGTATTATGTAGAATTTTAAGCATTTAAAGCACTGTGAAAGAGCAGATTGATAAAAACGCTTAGAAGTAAAACCTGACTGCAAATTCATCCTTTGAAAGGAAAGCTATAGAAAGTCTGGCCAAAATATTTTCATTTCTAACAAATCCTCTCAAAATACTTGGTCAGTAAGGGGTTTTTTTCAGCTATTTTGCCTACACCTCCGATGTTACGATATTATGTAAAAACCTGCAAGGGCACTTATAAAACATGTATCTCTTAGTGAGATCTTTATGTAGACATATATGTATGCATTTTATATAAAAGTTTTATATGCTACGTTACCAAATGGCTGAAAAGGCAGGAGGGTGTGTGGTTTAGGAACCCAAGTGAGAAGGAAGGGAAATCTTACCCTGAAATGGCTGGCAAAAGGTACCCAAAACTCAGAAGCAGATAATGTGAAGATAGTGGTTTCAGTATAAATACAAAAAAGGAATTTTGCTCCTCTTAGCATTCTGAACATGATGATTTTTCTTAGCAGTGGCATTTTGACCTTTAGCATAAAGGTCATATTTTCATAGGTTTTAATGCACTGGAAGTCATGAACTTCCAGTGATTAGTAAATTAGAAATGCTTGGTAAAGTAGAAAAGTAATTCTGGTCAGCAGTGTTACTGAGTGTTTTCCTTCCGTTCAAATGCCCTCCCTCGAGGACTGTGTTCCTTTGTGTGAGCAACTCGTAGTTATTAATGAACGTACCGCTTAGTGTCACACCAAGGCATTGCCAGGTTGTGCAGGGAAACGGCTTTCTCCTTAAGCTTCTCTTTAAGAAACTTGTGAAAAACAACGTGCTTGTTTGCTGAAGCAGGGATGGCATTTCTGGACAATGAATTTTTGGAGCTGCAGATGTATGGAGCTGCTTCTGGACTAAGAGGGGTTCAGTGGAGCCTTCAGCCTGCCTGGATTTCACCCGTACTGGCAGGGTACGACAGGAGTGACAACTGAAGCACGTCCTTTCTGTATTTACAACTCTGATTAAATCCCACAAGCTGGCTGGCAGTATACTGCGTCTACAGGCAAATCTTTCCCAGTCTGTGCGTGCCACCGACTGCTGCCTGGGAAGTGCGTCCTATACGTCAGCACTGCGGGGTCTGTGGTGAACGCAAGCAGAGCTGCTCCGCCTCACCGGGCATTTTTATTGCCTCCGTGCTTCGTTTCTTACAGTTACACAAGAGCGAGTAGCTGTGGTGGATCTTTGAGACAGCCAGATGCCAGGGTACATAACAGTACCTTCTTGTGTTACCCTCCCAGGCACTAAACTCTCCTGTCCCCTATAGCTTTCACCTTTGCTGCTGCTGGCAGAGGTGAGCTGGTAGTGAGTTATGAGATGGGTTTTTAGCAGCCTGGTTGTACACAAGCAGAGGATAGGACTGCTCATCTCGCTACCTGCTGGAGTGCCACGTTTCAGCTGTCAGGGCAAGGCATAAAGAGAAATAAATCACCCTTGGGACGCACAGAGCTGCAGGCTCTATTCGCTCTGAAATACTGAAATGTCAAGGACAGGTGGGAAGGGAGTTCTGCCAAAGCGAAATCATAGAATCATTAAAATTGGAAGAGACCTCTAAGATCATCAAGTCCAACCATCGACCCAACACCCCCACGCCCACTAAACCATGTCCCTAAGCGCCTCATCTACACGTCTTTGAAATACCTCCAGGGATGGTGACTCCACCACTTCCCTGGGCAGCCTGGTCCAAGGTTTAACCACTCTTTCAGTAAAGAAATTTTTCCTCATGTCCAATCTAAACCTCCCCTGGCACAATGTACCTTTATACTGGGGAACGGGTCAAAAGCAGGGGTACGCAGTACATCAGAGCACGTCATCAGATGGTTCTTGTATGGTGAAAGTCAGAATATATCGTTAACAAATAAACCAAGCGGTTGTGCTCAGTGCTGTGGGGTTGTTGCCGGCGAGCAGAAGGACATTACCCTCACTTTGTGAGAGGTCGTCCGCTGCAGTACAGCTCGGCATCCACCTTCGTCTGTCTTGGGTCACAATAGGATCAAGAAACGGGTGGTTAAAATATACTTCTCCATGTTGCACTGGGAAGGTAAAGCAATGTTTCTGGATGTATTTAGGTCTCAGACATCGGTTGCCAAAGATGACAAACATGAATTTCATGCTTTAGAACATAAATCAACCATGAGTTGCTTTGCACTGACCATTCCCTAGTAAAACTAAAATTTTTCTTAAGGTACTAATGTACTGTAACTGCGTGTCCTGCTCCACGCTGCCTTCTCCAGACAAGAGGCTGTGTTCGCACCCTTTGGAAGGTGCAGGATGAGAGGTGTCTAATGACTTACTCCTCCTTGACGTAGCTTAAGTGATGCGCTCAGCATTTCTGTTACTTGTCTTAGGAGTAATGAGCTAGGGTGACCAAGAGGGAAGGAACACAGGATTTATTTGAATGCTGATTATTAGAGCTGAGATGAAACCTCTTTTCTTTGCAGTCAACTTTCCTTGCTTTTCCATATTAAAAGAAAGTGCTTTCTTTTAAATACGAAGTGGTAGAGGCCATCCTGAACAAGAAAAATATGATGGACAGTAAGACGTGTTAGTATGTATTGTACTGTATACCATGTTGCTTTTCTTTTCGGCATTACGTTGATTTTTCTTTTTTATTTTCTTGGGGGCTACCAAGACTATCTAGAAGATGACAATAAAATAAATATTCTGGTTGGCAGGTAGCAGAGCAGGATGCGCCTCACATCTTAGAGCAAACCTGACTTCATTACTAGCCGTGACACTTCTCTTATTGAAGCTGTATGAATGGCTTTTAAAAGCCGCAGTCGTGACTGTGTTGAAAACAGGGATGTTTTTCTAAAGAAAACAATTCATGGAGACTCGTTCCAGAGCAATACAGCCTCTATGCACCTGCCAGCAGCGCTCAGCACTCGGGTGCAGCAGCTCCCACGGCATTTGGAAACAAGGCGATGTAGCAGGAGAACTGGTGCAAGGCTTTGGGACGACAGAGCCAGGACTCACAGACGATCTTGGTTATCCTTATTTCATTTTCTGAATCTTTTTCAGTTATACTGTGTCTTTTTTGAGATCGGTGGGTGGAAATGCCCATACGCTTCAAAAGACGCGTGTTCTGTGAACACACAGAATGATGTCTGTCCTCTCTTTTACTTTATCTTCTATCAACTCTTGACAATTTTTTGCTTATTCCTTTCCATCGTAAGTCTTCGCTTTTTTTGGCTGTTGATGAGCACTGAGTTGGTGTTTTCATCTGTGGTAACTCTGGGATCCTTTTCCTGAGCAGCAATAGCTAATTCAGAGTTGTTCTTCCCTTTGGTCATTACGTTGCCTTTTATCTTCACTGAGCTGTATCTGCTGTTTTAGTGCCCCTTCACGTGGTCTCGTGAGGTCCTTTTGCGGTTCTTTGCAATCGGGTTTAATCTTTCGTTATGCAGAATAACTTCTTATGCCTGCGAACTGTGTCTCATCGCGGATCGCCTGTGTTGGATGGCGTGGGTGGTAGCGCGCTTCCTTGGACACCCCACCGGTACCCACCGCCGCGGGGAAGCCTAGCTGGTTCTACCTCCTGTTAAATTGAATAGGTTATTAATCTGCAGGATTTAAAGATCTGCAAGACCTAAAGTAGTCTCCTTTGCTCTGTTCCTAAACCAGACAAGTTTATTTCTAACTCTTGAGTCGTATTTGATACGTGATAACCGCTTTCTCTAGGAATCTGTTATGGTTTATTTAAATGATGTCTTTGCCACTGGCACATGTTTTACCCTTTCAGATGCTCCTTTTAATTTCTTTTTAACTTCTTTCTGTGTTTCAATGTGGTTCTCCTTTTTATGAAGTTGAGTATTGCTGTGACACCTCATGAAGTTTTTTAGAAATTTCCTTGTAGATAGAAGTGTTTTCTTTATTTAAAGAAGTAAAAAAAACCCAAAACTACTTAGTTGAGCTAGAAATCAGAAGCTTCATGCAAGAATGAAATTTTCTGGCCTGTATTACACAAAAGAACATTCAAAGGCATAAATAAGTTACCCGGTGCTTTGCTCTTTAAAAGGTTTTGATGGGGCGGGTTGGATTTTTTTAAGCAATTTGGGTAAGACTGAAGTTATAAGTACATTGTACTGTTATATTATGAGAGGAGGTGAGCAACCTTTTGCTTTTATGCAGTGTTGTAGGACAATGATGATACGCTGTCCTGAAATCTGTGCTCCTGGATTCTGGCGTGACCTTCAGATGTGTGAGAATACTGAGATGTTGCTTTGTGGTGGGGAGGATAGAAATACGGACATACATTTAGCTAGGATCTATGCAAAGAAATGAGCTGCTCTCATGTAAAATACAGCCTCTTGTTTCTCTTAACCTGTGGATGGCTGTTTTTGCACTACACACATGCAGAGCTTGGATTTTGGCTTGGCATATTAGCTGAATTTCACCAAGAAAAGGTCCAATCCTGCCAGTTCAGGCACCCCTCCTCCTGTTGTGGGTCGGAGCCCAGCTGGACTGGGGTGAGCCTGCTCCAGCGGGCAGGAGGGTCCGTGGGGGGGAGCAGAGGTGCAGGCAGGAGGGCCCGGTGCATCCAGCATGGCTGGCAGTGCCCCCCGAAGCCACGGAGGTTAGCTTGGTTCGAGAAACGTGTGCTGTTGGTACTTTCTTTCCTGATAAGCTCCCTCTTATGGCAAAAGAAGATGGGCTTGTGCAGTGTGGCCGTGCGTTATCCCCCTGCACAGGGGCAGATTCACCCACACCGGCAAATTTGCCCTGTTCAGTGCCTGTTGATGCTGCTGTGTCAGTGATTCACTGTAGGAAGGGAGCGACCGCACCGGGGGCTTTCCCCAAGGGCTTTTTTCTGTGCTAGCCATTTCTTGAGTTTCTGTTTTGCAGCACATATTTCCTTTCTCTATTATTCTCCCTTTCCTCTTTCTCGTCTTGCTCCGTCGGCCGTGGCAGTGAGGCTGGAGAGCAGCGGTGCTGTGCTGCTTTGACTGTCCCTGGGTGCCACCTCTGCCACCCCACTCGCTGGGAGGCTCCCAAGTGCTTTAGAGATCCCCGGGGACTCCTGCAGTGCTTCTCACCGATGAGCATATCATTTTGGTATCCAAGAAGATAGCAGTTTGTTGGTTTTTTTCCAAGCTAGATAGTTTAGACTTGCTGCCACGCGCGTGTCCGTTAAGCTCCAGTACTTTGAAGCATGTCTGATGAGCACCTTTCCAAAAGCAAAAGTGCTCCAGAAGAAGCAGTAGGAATGTCTTCTCAATCTTTTTTGTTTTTGGTTTTTTTTTTTGTTTGTTTTCTTTTTTTTCACTGCAACATAGGTTTTCTTCAGAGATTTAAAATGAAAGCACAAAAGCTGAAAGAATTAGGCATGTTTGGTGCACTTGAATAAATAAATACCTTCAGATGTCTCATGTTCATTTTGAATAAACGGTATCCTGACTGGTATGAGACTCTTGTTAGATGTTACGGGTCTGTGTCAGTCCGTGTGTTCCATGAGGGATTTTAGAAATACATAATGAAGGACATAAACAAAAGAGACTTCTTTGCAAAAAATGTCTTTAAAAAAAGCAAAGATACACTAACCTTCCAAAAAACCCTACAAATTTATGGCGCTGTTTTCCCTTCCAGGGTATGACTACGGAAGGGGAGGTGTGGGCAGAGCCAAGGCTCCCGTGTTAATGGCAGAGCTGGAGGCTTTCGAAGCAGAGCTTGGCGCCAGGAGGCTGCT